ATGCCCTGATTTAAGAAATTACTTGGCTTTGAAGCAAAAAACATGTTGTTGTCCTCTTTAACACCTTCCACATTTGCATACTTTTACCCATTAAGATGGTGTTGCAGCGAACGAAAAAGATGGTAATATGATGGTGCCACATCTGGAGAATATGATGGCTGTGGGAGAACTTTGCTACCCAACTCCATAATCTCATGTTGCATCAAACGTGCCACATGTGGACATGCATTGTCGTGGAGAAGAAGAACACCTTTCCAATTGATAAGTGAAAAGCGTTTCTGATGAAGGGTTTGATTAAAAAGTTCCAGTTGCTGACTATAAATCTCTGCATTGACAGTTTGCTGTGGATTGATGAGTTCTAAATGAATTACTCCTTTGAAGTGGTTTTTGTATAAGACTGGGCCTTTGTTTTAGGCATTTAATATTTGCATAGAGAATCCATTTTTCATCACCGGTGACAATTCTATCCAAAAATGGTTCATGTGCATTATGCGCTAGAAGAGATGAAGCAACGTTCACCGTTGGAAACGATGATCATCGGAGAGTTTGTGAAGCACCCAAACACCTTCCTTATGGAGTTTTCCCATATTCCTTAGATGTTTACTTATTGTTTTATGAGAGACATGCAATTTCAGGGCGATTTCATGAGTGTATTGCCTTGGGTTAGCATCAATATCAATTCTAACATGTCGGCCCCTGCCATCACAGTTTTTAAGGCTAAAGTCACCTGAACAAAATTTACTGAACCATCCAAAGATTGGGTGTCACAGTGGTTATAGCACTCAACTATTAGGTCGTCAAGAAATTAATGTCACGCTTTGGAACACTTTCATTAACCACCCCCCCAAAAAACATACGTCATGTACAATAGTTAAACGAACCACCTAAACGTTACGTTAGTGTAGCCTATATAATGTGTAAAGTTTAGTATACTTTAATCCCTTATAGTGATGGAACACATTTGGCATTTAATGCTGTTTGAATACAAGAAGGGAAACAATGCCTCTGCAGCCACAAAGAATATCAAAGAAGTATATGGAAATGTTTTGAATGTTTGTAAGTGTCAATGTAATCAAATATTAACAAATAATTCAAATCCCTAATGTAAACTATCATTCTGGTTTTTCCTAATATTTTAATATATGTCTCTAAAAATGATGAGTTAATAGTTAAAAGAAGATACAAAAAATCCCCACTTGACTGGGATTTGAACATGATACTTCTGCTTGAGACAAAGCACTGAGCCAATTTGAATGTTACCCTCAGAGGGTTGAGCATTACCGACAAAGGGAGTGTTACGAACAAAGAGTGGCTTTTATGCATGTTAATAATTACAACAGATATGGTATATATATACCAAAATTATCTTTGCTGTTTTTTATATTACTACAGTTTTTGTTTTTTCCTCAACAGTATGAGAAGGCCGAGCAAGTTTTCAGTGAGTTGAAGAAATCTCTCAATCGAGTTGACACTTATTGTAAGACTGCAGTCTAAGAAGAATCAGAATATAAAATGAATATATTCAGTTACTTATTAAGACTGTTGAGGTATAAGGTATTTATGTTTGAAGTAGTTTTTTACAGCCTTCTACTGCATTTAGGAACTTTTTGGAATAATACTGGGTTTTTCAGTTTTATCTAATCTTGGAATCTTAAACGATGTTCGTATTAAAATGCCTCCATATGGAGTTAATATGAAAAATGTTTTAATGGAACAGAGATGAATTTATAAATCTCAACTTTTTATATTCAGATATCTTTATGGTAGTAACATTGTCTTAAGTGTTACTTCTTTTTGTTTATATGTACCTGTATTTCTTCTTAGTCCAGTATAAGATCAAAAACAAATATATTTTTCTGCTTATCTAATTATTTTTAATAATTTTCATATAGCTAAAAACAAAATATTGATGTAAACACATGTAATAATGATGTCTTTTAATGTAATTGTGTTTGACCAGATTTAAAATTATTTAACCCTATGTTAGTCTTTCACAGTCTTCATAGACCCTAAATAATTTTTAAACATTGACACCTACAGATGGAAGCACGTACATGTTTGTTGTTCTCAGTAGCTTCAGTATTTGGTTAGTTTGTGTTAAATTGTTACACTTAGTTTAGGTGGTGAAAAAGAAACAAGTTATAATATTCAATGTTCATTTATTGATTAATAAAGGTAACGATTTGAGTGTTAGTGTTTTTTAGTTTCCAAAATAATAGTTTATTATTACTTATCATTTGTTAAATATTTTTAAATTAAGTTTTTATGATGGTGTCCGTTTGGATCCCGGAAGAGTGACTATAGAAATTTTTTACAGAAGATTAACACAGGGTTAATACAGACTCGTTTAACCAGGATACTTGTACCAGGATATTGCCATGTATATTATAGAACAGTGATACATGATATTTAAGTTTTTAAATTAAGCATAATGGAATTTGTTTTTAATTATTTTTGTGAATTATTAATACTGTTGTTAGAACAAATTGGAAGGACAGAAAATTAACTAGTGATGTCACTTTATTAATGAATTTTTTCAAGTATGTAACCTTCTATGAATTGGGCCTTTAAATGCTTGACACAATTGTATTCCTCAATGGATCAAACAAACTTTCATACACTCTTGTTTTAGTTTGTAAAAAATTAGTATAAATCCCATCACCCTCCGACTATGAAGTACAGATTTAATCTTAATGTGTGGTATGCAAGCCCACCATATCTTTTCTATCTTCTTGTTTTAATGTAGAATTTTTCAAAATCTGTCAGTTATTCAGGTATATGGCACTTTTCACACAACACTTGGTCAAAAAAGTCATTAAAGTTCTTATTGCTCTAGCAACCTATTGTTCTGTGTTGTAACACCTTTCTGCCTGATGGGGAAGTAGTTGTAAAGCTACACTATAGGCTATAGAGCTATTCTTTATCTATGTATACATTGATCATTTTCAACATCCTTTATTGACAAAATATTTGAAGATTTTGATAAAAGGAAAACAACTAGACTGCATGCTAAAAAAAAACATCACAAAAACCATACCCCATTAAACCTATGAAAGCAACTTTGAATACACCGTAGATAAACAACAACATAAATAATGAAATTATTGAAACTACTAATATAACAAAAACAATGATACAAACTAAGCAAAGAAACGAAGAAAGGAATAACTATACAATCCACTTATATGAAAAAAACATGCAGGAAATACCAATGTATGGCAAACTAATGATCAGAACTTTTGGATTATACATATAAAGACCAAGAAGTTGTTTATGGAGCCACTCGTTAAGAAAATATATACAGATGAAACAGGAAGAGCTATCCACGATAGATACGAACTCGTATATCAATACCTTTCTTTATTCTAACCCACCTTTTAAAATCTACATTTTGCCAATTCCTATAGCTTTTTAGGGAAATAAATTATAATGAAACCCTTATAATACAGAACTACACACCTCAAATTAACAGAAACATTGAAAGGCAACTTAAATAAACTATACATGGTGTTATTGTTATCTTATCTATTTAGTAAAGTATTGATCTGTAGTAAAGCTGTAATGTTGCAGTTTTGTTTCAAGTTCTTTATTTCAATACTATGCTTTTAATGTAGCATTGTTAGATGATAAGGGTAATTTTGTCTCAACAATCTTGCTCCTCTTCTGTCTGGATTTACATATTTGAGCTACTTGATCTGTTTTTGTTTGTTAGTTTGTATAGAGATTAAGTAGATTACCTTTCAGGACTAAACAGTTATTTACTGTATGTGTCTTTGATAAAGGCATAAGGTGAAATGTTGAGCTTTTAAGACAAAATAAACTAGTTTTGTGGAGTTTATTGCAGATTATTTTAAGTAAAATGTAAACAAGAGCTTTCATATTTGATACTCAAAGGAAGTGTAAGTACAAAGAAATATCTAAGATTACATTTCACTGCTATCAAATAGTAAAGTGAAATATTTTTACTAGTGTGAAGGTAATCCATAAAAAGTATTAATTTAAACATGCTTATAACTAACTCTACTTTGTTACATACAACTCAGAGGCTTAGACATCAAACCAAGATTAACTTTTAATGGTAACTTAAATATTGCTTACTTGGATTATTGTCCTTTCAGATTGAGAAACAAGTAAATAAACCTTAATTCTGTATCAAAGAAATAAACGATTCTGGGATATATTCAATTCTAAAGTAAAAGTGGGAGATGTATGTTTAGGTTAGGAATACTTGGTTATGTACTATGAGTCAATACAGAAAGCCAAGAACAAGTAATATAAATCTTATGGAATTTTTGGTGTTACAGAAAATTTGTTATTGTTTTTCCTTTTTCTAGTGAGGAGTTCACAATTCAAATTCAAGATTGATACAGTTTGTGTGATATGTAGGCATATAACTTGTTCACTGCTTTAGTGATATAGGTATTTCTAGACATTTTTTTATTTGGTTTTTACATAATTTTAGTATAAGCATGTGATCAAGAAAGTTTTTGAGATTGCCTTGTTCTAGTTGCTTTGTTCTCCATGATAGATAATGCCTGTTCTGGTCAATTGGATATTGATGTAACTTGTAACATTCAGGTTGAAAGTAATAGTGACTGTAATGTCCTTTACTGGCTGATGTAACATTTTACAATTGCAACAGTCAACCAAGTAGGAGAATAAAGGATAAGGAAGCTTGTAAATTCTTCTTGTTCTAGTTGCTTTGTTGTTTTGTTATTTTCTAGGAAGTAATACTTCATGGAAAGTATTGCTATAATGTGGCATTTTGTGTAATGATATTGAAAGTAGTAGTAAGTCAGATGATAAATCTAGGTTTTGATCTCCCTTGTGTCTCAAGGGGATTAATCAACAGTGACACAAGTGGTATACCCTAACTGAGAGCACACTATTATATAATTTGGTATATAATTTTATAATCCTTTAATTATCTTTCTCTATTATGTTCAAGCCCTCAGTTTAGTAAGTGAAGTTTATGTTCTCTCTCTCTTTGTAAATAGTAATACTCTTTTGGAAGTTCTGGGTAACTTCAACTTTACTTCTCAAGGGAAAATAAACCATGGAAGGGCATTAAAAATGGAAACTTTCAATCAAAATTATGGCTTCTTTTCAAATTTAACGTAGAACATAACATAATGTTTAGGGACAACAAGGGACCTGTGGTCCATCTTGGCTGTCCCATACTCTAAATTGATCTATTAAAAACAAACAGCTCTTATCATTCATATAGTTATCAAGCTTTCTCTTAAAGTTACTGCCTCCACAATATCTGAAGCTAACCCATTCCAGAGGCCAACTACCCTGTTAGAAAAACTGTTAGCTAAAGATGAATCCTACTTTGTCAAACTTTATACTGTTCTCACAGTTAAGTTTGAAAAAAAGATGACGCATCAACACTATCAATTCCCTTTACAATCTTAAACACCTGCATCAGATCCCCTCTAACTCTTCTTTTTTAAAGAGGAAACAATTTCAAAGATCTTAATCTCTCCTCATATGACAAACCCTCCATCCAAGGCACCATTCTAGTAACCCTCCTCTGAATTTAAATTATGATAACCTACATGCATTATCTTGCATTTATTATAATTGAAACCCATCAGTCATTATTTGCACAAATCTCTAAATGATCTAAATCTATTCGTAAAACAAGATATTCCACTTCACAGCTTGCAACACCCAAGACCATAATGTCATCAACAAATTTAAGTAACTTATTGACCATTCTTTCATCTATGTCATTGGTGTAAATCAAAAAGAGCAAAGGTTCTTAGACTGAGCCCTGAGGTACCCTACTTGTGACATTAATCCAGTTTGATTGAGCTCCCATTTGTAACAACCCTCTGTTTTCTTCCATCCAGCCACCCTTCTATCCGATTTGCTAACTTATTCCCCACACCTATAGAAATAATTTTGTTTTACAAGCCTTTTATGTGGCACCTTTTTAAGGGCTATTCTGAAAATCCAGATATGCCAAATTTACACCCATACCCTCATCTACATTAGCAGTAATCTTTTCAAGAGAATGTCAAAATATTTGTAAATCAAGATTTTCCCTTAGTGAGACCATGTTGACTATCCAATAAAATTCTAAACTTTGTTAATGACTTTACAAAGCATCTTTTGTCAGATTTTCCAAAACTTTTCCCACAACTGATGCAAGACTAATAGGTCTATAATTACTGGGACAATTTTTATTACCTCCCTTGAAAATAGGAGTAACATTAACAAACTTCTAATCCTTTGGCACCGACAAATTTAGTCCACCTGTAATATTTTTTTCTTCCTGGATAAAAGAAAATTTCTGTTCAAAAACTCTGCAAGAGATATAACTTTTTTCATCAAATTCCTTATGTTTTAGGCTTGGTGTTTTTTATGAGAAATATGAACAATTAAAGATTTCACATTTAATTTTGCATTAAAATACGCACTTTGTGTGTTTCAGAAAAGTTTTTTCTTTTTTTTACCAAAATTGCCTTGATATTTGTTCAAAATTCT